AGAACTTTAAATACTTAAATCACATTTTGTGCCAGCAGTAGAGACAAAAAAATCTTGGGCAAAAAATTTCAAAGCTGAGAATACAACCATATTGTAGAATGTTCTTGGATGAATACTGCCATTTGAATAACATTTATGATTATTTTCATGTAGCAGAATGTAATTCTTCCCACTTACCCATTATACTTTTTTTTAAGGATTACATGAAATTTACAAAACAAAGTGTGAATCGGTTCAGCTGGTGGCTCTTCTTGCTTTACTAGATCTGACAGTCATGGGGCTGTTTACACGCATTGCCCATATACATTTATGTGCAGAGACCAGTTCTATTGTAAACTTTAATGTTGAGGTAGGAATTCATTCATGCTCAGGTGGCTGGTTAAAGTTGCTGTAATATTGTTTTTAATGTGTAATGAAACATTATACATTAATATTGTGGGAGTCTTTGTTTTTGACAAAACCCCATTCATATTATAAAAGAGCTAGAGAGTATGAAAAATGGGGCATTTAAACATTTGTTGCTTCTTGGAAATGCTGAATTTTTGATTTGAAGTCCCTAAGGAGCCTTGCATATCCTGAATTTCAGGACTCCTCAGAGGTTATAGAATAATGTGACCTCCTTTTTAAGGTGCTCACCTTAGATTTAAAAGGGCAAAACATCCCCTCTTAATAAAGGGATAAGCTGTGCCACATCCAAAAATATTTTTCCCTTGTGAAGATGTAGATGACTGCCTTTGTTTGGCATCTAGTTTGACTGCATATTTTTCTAAATAATATCCAAAGTAACATAAAATAAACATGCCTAAGCTAAAATATCATCCTGCATTCGTATTTAATTCACAGTAATTCATTAAAACCATGTACAGTTTTCTTTCTGTAGCATTTAGAAATAGCCAGGGTGGACTTGATTAAATCAAATTGATTTAAATTACAATTTAAATCACTAGTAAAAAGACTTGATTTAAATCAACTCGATTTAAATCATAATTTTTAAAGAGCAACTGTCATCTCTGTCTCCCAGCAGCTCCTCCTCTGACCCACTGTTGACTCACTGACAGACCCAATATTGCAGAATATACAACCTCATGCTCCTTCATGCTGAATAAACTAAATTATTAATGTATCTTTATTAGAAAACTATCTTTAGATAGACTTTTTATTCCAAAAGCATTTTATTAAAATAAATAATTAAAAAATCTGATTTAAATAAAAAAATGATTTAAATAAAAAAGTGATATTTTTATGCTTAAAAAATCATTGATTTTTATCCACCCTGGAAATAGCTGTCAGCTGTGATCCCCACCACTTTCTGAGAGTAGGTATTTCAGTGCATACAATGCATTTGAGCAATTTTTTTTCCATCTTAGCTTTCAACTATCAGGGACAGCTATTCTATATCACAGAATGGGCCAACTCGCAACAGCCAACTTGCTGTGGGCCAATTTGCCATGGCCAATTTGCCACAGGCCAATTTAACGTCAATTTCATTATTTCATCATTCATTCTATTCCACCATTTCTTTCATATTAGTGTAACTGTTGTCCTACAGTGAATTGTTCTGTAGCAAGTTGACCAATGTGAGTTGGCCGTGGTGAGTTGGCCATGGCCAATTGTCATGAGCCCTCTAGATCATGTTGTCAATTCAGGAACTTCTGCAGATTGTGGAAATGTCAGATTCTTGGGCACGTAAATATTATAGGAGCACGCTAAATTTGTCCAGGTCAGACTGGTTTTGGTTGTGTTCTGGAGGGCATTTTTAGTTAAGGTTAATTGAGGTTTAGCTCATCTAGATTGGTGGTTGTTTTTTTGTTTTAATCTTGGCCACTTTTAAGATGCATGAACTTCAGTTTCCACAATTCTGGGAGCTTGAGGTCCACACATCTTAAAATTATGAAGTTTGAGAAACACTGATCTAGATTTATATCAATTCATTCTTTGGAAATCAACCAAATTTATATTGCAAAAGAATGCTTGCAAGGTACCTTTGTTTTAAGGAAAGTTGGTCTACCATACCTGGACTTCTAATTGAGAAACCATAGATATTTTTAAGAAACTCCAACACAGTTTCAAAGCGTTGCTATAGAGGAAAGGGTGTCTGTGAATAGGAAGTTTCAGGTATTTTTCTATAAAGGGTGTACATATGTGCCACATAGAAAGGAATGCTGAATTACTGGGGATACTTAAAATTTTGAATTATAAAAGTATTTCATTTCAATTAAGTTTTAAGTAATCCACCATTTATTGGCTTTTTAAGGTACATAATTAAGATTTTTGATGAACCATTTTGCAATATATATAATTGTCTTATTTTGTGCATAAAGAGAGTGACAGAAGGAAAAAACATATTTAGAATGATAAGACAATTACTCAATAATTGTCATACAAAAATATTGTGCTCCGTGCTTGGTTTGACTTTGTGGCAGAGAGATTGGTTAATATTAAGCATTAGGTGGCCAAATACTTTGGCCACCTAATGAGAAGGAAGGACTCACTGGAGAAGAGCCTAATGCTGGGAAAGATTGAGGGCAAAAGAAGAAAGGGACAACAGAGAATGAGGACTGGATGGAGTCACTGAAGCAGTGACTGCCATTTAGGCATGAGCTTAAATAGACTTCAGAGCATGGTAGAGGACAGGAAGGCCTGGAGGAACGTTGTCCATGGGGTCATGATGGGTCGGACACGAGTTTGCAATTAATAACAACAAGCATAAGTAAACTATAAAGGCCAATAAATACAAGATTTGGAAGTTGATTTCATATTCTTATTTGTTAATGTGATATTGAAAAGAAAAATAAGTGTTAAAGTGTTGTTAAATTATAAAATGAAACTGGAATCTATCAAATGGTGAAGAACTTTTTGGATTTATTGTGCCTTGGGTGCTGCTAAAATATTGATTTATTTTGATAGACTCTGTTAGACTTGATTCAAAATCCTGGCTGGATTAAATATGTCCACTCTTTTTACCTAGAAATTGGTTTTTTAATTGATCTGATTAATCAATATAACTCCATGAGGTCAAGATTTAATCTCTTGTTAAAAAATTTGTATGTTTTTCCTTTATTTTAGCACATCCTCCCCCCTCCCCCCCGCCTTCCCTTCCCTTTCCACTATATATGGAGCACTGAAAAACCTTTTCAAACCCTGAAATAAGCAGATGCTTTTTAAAACAGCCCTGTGGTTCCAAACCCAATATTTCATATTTTATGCAGAATTGCTGTTTGTGTTTGGATAGTGGGTAACCTGGTGGCAAAAGATCGCTGAAATCTCTGAAGGATTTGATTTCACTAGATTGAGCCTTTCAGGGATTCTGATCCCAGGTTTTTAATTGTATAAGATTTTTCTTTTGTTTAACTGAGAGATTTTTGTCTTGGTTTTGATTGAGGCAGATCCATAAAGTATATTTCACAGCAATGAGAGTGTCATCAATTATATCCAATCCAATCAAAGACATTTTGAATATTTTTGACTACATAGCGTTTTAAATTTCTTGCCTCTGCTAAAATAGAGCAGTATTCAAGCATTAACATCTCAATATCTGTGCAGTATAGTGTCATATTATAGCAGGCTCCCCCACAAACCGAAATAATACTTTGCACTCGGCATCCGAATCTTGGTACCATAGCTGAAAAAGAACCGTATCTCCATTCTCCAAAAGGGATAGACAGAGGAGGAGCTGGAAACAGAAATCCATAGAGGATTTAAATTTGCAAGCACATTATTTTGAAACAAGGCAGATCATGAGACACCTGGATTTTTTTACTGATTTTTTTTTAATAGAGAGAGAACTAAAGGAAGGGCCTATTTTGTTTTTTTCATTTAAAAAAAAAACAAACCTTGTTTGGTTTCCCTTTCCTCTATAGCAACAAGCTTTCCACTCGCTAATTTTTATTTCACTTGTTTGTTTTTGAAATGTATATTGGTTTACACAGTCACTTAATATATTAAACCAAGAGTTAGAAAATTCTTAGGGACCCCAAAATCACATTTGCAAAATAGCAGTCTCCTCCTTCCCTGTCTCCCCAACATTAGTAGCGATTACTTCTAAATTTCAGATACCTATCCCTAGCAGGCAAAATCTCAACTATTTTAGCATTAAAAATCATATTAGTATAATGTATTGTGAGCCAGCAAAAAGTCAGGAAATGTATGCGACCAATTTAGCTGCACTTAGGTCCTATTACAGCTAATTTCTTTTGGTCCAGCTCCTTATATTTCTGTTCTGCCTTTTCCGAATACATACTGGTGCATCTTTAATTTCTTTGGCTTACCATATCTTTTGGTCTACTTCGCATGATGTTTCATGCCACTTACAGGGAATAGCGATATGGACATTGTATATATGCATAATGAAGATGGACTGTGTAGACTGAGAGAATATTTGCAAGATGGTGAAGTATGTTCTAAAGTAGAAACTTGGCAATGAAGCCTTTATATTCATGTACACTTGTCTTTTCCAAACTAGCCATCTTATAGATCATCTTAGGGACTCTCAACAGTGACTGGCTGGCTAGGGAATTCTAGGAGTTGAAGTCCACACTTGGAAGTGTGGACGCTTCCTTGTAAGCTTGGGAAGAGTAATGTAAACAAAATGAAAGATGAATCAAACGTACATACAAATCCTTATGGAATCAAAACAACTGGGCAGCACCAAGAACTTTCTCTTTCTCAGGAAGCCCATTGTATCTTCTATGGGCTTCTTCAGCCTTCCTTTGATCTGATTGTTCTTTTGTAATTGACGTTTCTTAGGGTGGAAAAGAGGGTGCTGTGTCTTTAAAGTGCTTATCCTGAGCCTTGCAGAGGCGATTCTGCATAAGTCTTTGAATGGGAGAGAGAGGGGGTGTGTGTGGAAGTTGCCATTGGCAGAGCTTTCTATGCCATCTCTTCCAGCAGCTGAGATTTGCTTCCTTCTGAATGGTTTGTCAGGAGTAATTAGCTGCTGTAGAAAGTGGCGAGGAGCCTTCTTTTTTTCACTGGGGGCTGGAAAGGCTGGCACAGCAGTGACGCGGAAGAGGGTGGGGGGTGGGGAATTCCAAGAACCAGGAGCCCCTGGCATGATTCCTCCGATCACTGTTCCTGGCAATGAGATCCCTGTTGAGGAGGGGAAATAGATGACCTACTTGGAGTTGCCGTTTCCATCAGGGTGAGTTTATTTTTAGGATGAAGTCACTAATGATTTTGGAATGATGTGGGGAGGGGGAGGCTGATAAAAGAGAAATCTTGTGCCGATTGCAACAAATCAATTCCTTGTAAATCTATTGTGCAGCTATCTGGCTATCATGATACGTCAGCGATGGGGGTTCCTGCTCTTCGGTGAGGATTTTGTGAATGGCTCCCCCCCCCTTTCTGAATGAGGAATATCTGATTCCATGACTTCTCCCTCCACACAGCTTCTTCTTCAGACTTGCAGGGTCTGGGTGACTTCCATGTCACCAGTTTTGCTGGTTATTGCTATTCTTTCACCCTAGAGGGGAGAAGGGAATCCCCCCCCCCCCATAAACGCACTGTTTTCTTTTGTGTCATGAAGAAACTCTCCCTGCTGGATTCTTGATGAGGAAATTTTGTGCACATTTTCATTCTTTCTTTGGTTTGGAGGATGAGGTGAGCATCTTTTTGAATCCACTTCCCCTCCTATTCTGAATTTCTGCACTTTGACTATGTACGTTGTAGGGGGTTTGCTTTTGCAATATAGGTTTGTTCAGATTCAAAGATCACGGCTGTTAAATTGGAGTGACCTGCCAGCCAAATTTGTATGCCATTGAACACAGTAGGATGAAATGGATGCATTTTTTGGCTTTCTTCCCTGTGTGTCATGATGGTCATATTATATTTTTATAGTGAACTGGGCTGCCTAATCGGGATTTCCTCGGAACTTTTCTGGGTGTGTTCACTTAGGTGTTCAATTGGCAGATCCTCCAAACATCTTTGTCTGAAATAAGTATGCTAAAACTGTACTTTTAGCTGATGGAAATGCTGAAGAAGCATTACAGTGTCCATAGAAGGTTAATTTATGAGCTAGTGGTGTCAATAATGCAGAGTTGCTTCAGTTGGATGGTTTCATCAAAGGTGAATGGAAAGAACTTTAGCAAGTGGATGTTCTCTTCAGATTTGTTCTTGTTTCTCTGAAGTCAAAATTCAGGAAAGGAAAGAACGGGAGGAAGCTGAATTACTGTTGCCATACTTCCACTTCTCTCTGTTTCAAGACTCATTCCCATTAGAAGGTCCCTTGAGTGCACTTGATAACTCAGCTGAGAACTGTCTCTGTCTTCATTTTGCCTTTGTCCCTTGCTTTTGGATGTCTCAGAAGTGAACACGCCCAGCACATTCAATGTAAGCTTGTACTGTCTTTTTTTGAGTGTGGATGGGCACCTCTGCAACCTGTTTTTCTAAAAGCTGGCATGTATGTTATAACATTAGAAACTTTCTTTGCTGTTCAGCACAAGCTTAGCTCGGTTGTGGGTGCCCACCCCCATCATGTTTGGTATTTTGTTTATTTATTAATTCAGTTGCTAAATATTCTGCATATCCAGTGGACAGCAATGGTTAATGAAAAGCTCGAATGGATTTCATCTAGCTGCTGTAAAATTATATAACCCTCAAACTCGTTTTGTGCAGCATCTCATTCTGGGTGGGAAAGAGTTAAGAGCTATTTTTATGAGTGGGCATATTTTTTCATCCCCCTATTCCGGAAAGAAGCAGCTGGTTCAGTATTCACCAGCGGCTAATAACCCCAGAATGTTCCCCCTCCCACTGTTGTTATTTGAAAGAATAAGGGAATTGGGCAAAGAGAACGGATGATGCCAGGAAGCGGAGGTGTTGTCTCTGCAGGAATGGGTTAAAAGGAATTCCAGTGCAGTGTCGCACATCTTGACATTACAGAGGAGGTGGGTAATTTTCATGCTAAATTTTCAGGAAATCCCCATGGTGGATGGCCCTCTTAATCGTTGCCAAGAGACTATTTTGACGTCACTGATGGCAGTTCCCATCTGCATCTTAATAGCTTTGGAAAAAAAAGAGAGAGAAATGTCAGCTGATGTAAAACTGGTACTTGTGCTGGGTAGGGGGAATATATTTCCTTAATCTCCATCTTTGCAACAGTGAGATAGTCAGAATTCATACTTAAAGCTAATGTGAGGACCGTTTGCAGATTTCTTTGAAAAATGTTGATATCTGTCTGTGTCTCACGGCTAGACTGGAAAGGAATTGTCTTATGAATGTACGTCATCAAAGGGGAAAGACCATGCTTTGTTTTGGCGCAGCCCTCAAATAGGAGGGGCATCGATATAAGTAGGGGGAGAAATGAAGGAAAAACAAGGATTTTTAATGAGCCTTTGGTAAAGCTTGAAGCGAACTAGGAAAGCGTCACACACAGAATCAATCCAGTTTCTGCCTTGCGTAACCTCTAAAGGGGTTTGTTTTGAGCAGAAATGGGTGAAAAGAAAGGTGAAAACCCTTTGCTATGTTCTGCAAAACTAATTACATTTTAAGTCAAGGCTATTACATTTTGTTTTTATTATTATTAGAGTCAGCACTCCATCCCCCAAATAACCTTGGGAAATAATTAAAGCAAGAGGCATTTCTGTATAATCCTGATCTCCCTATCTTTTTCAGAGAGTTAACTATTCTGATTCTGGAAGAATAGAGTTTCTTATCTATGTCTTAATTTAATAATGAATAAAGGATTTTCTTGTCAGACATCTTGGCAGAATGGCTATAGTTTTTCAGTATCACATTCAAAGATTGAAATTGCGGTGTACATAACTGTATGTTTTACTTAGCATATGTTTATCCTGACATCCTCTCTCTCCCCTGGCAGCAGCTCAGTGCCTCATAGAAATGAATAAAATATCCCCTTTGAGCCATGAGAGTTAGGAGCTGCTAGTTGGCCATTTCAGGACAACACATTATAGCCGGTTTTCATTTCCTATTCCTTAGTAGGATTCAGTAAATAGAAGTTAACCCCAGAACGTTCCATAGTAGTGCACCATATGGTAAAGTTTTGTTATGCTAGATTCCAGTTGCTTTCCTATTTTCTCATAAATATTCTTTTGGATGCCAATTTTGAAGATTTGGGGGTGGTTTTACAGCATGCATATAGCAATAGCACTTAGACTTATATACTGCTTCGCAGTGCTTTACAGCCATCTCTTAAGTGGTTTACAGAGTCAACATATTGCCCCCAACAATCTGGGTGCACATATTGTCTTTTTGTAGAAATTTACACTAGCTAGCCTATAAAGAGGAGAGAGCTACCATATTTTTCGGAATATAAAACACACCTTTTTTCCTCAAAAAAGAGGCTGAAAATCTGGGTGCGTCTTATACGCTGAATACAGCATTTTTTGCCTCCCGAAGCCCCGCTGCTTCACCAAAATGGCCGTGCATAGCCTTATGGAGGCTTTCACAGAGCTCCTGGGGGCTGGGGAGGGCAGAAATGAGCAAGAAAATGGACTGTTTTTTTGCTGAATTTTGCCCCCCCCCCAGCCCCCAGGACCACTCTATAAGCCTCCATAAGGCTATGCATGCAATTTTTTTTTAAAAAGGGCCTTTTTGTGAAAAATGGGCCATTGTTTGCTCATTTTGGGGGGGTCACCCCCCCAGGAGTACTCTGCAAGCCCCCCAAGGCTATTCATGCCTTTTTTGGGGGAAAAAACAAGCCCATTTTCACATTGGAAGGTTTGCATAGTGCTCATTTTTGGGGGGGGGTGTCACCCACCCGGAATACTCTGCAAGCCCCCCAAGGCTATTCATGCCTTTTTTGGGGGAAAAAACAAGCCCATTTTCGCATTGGAAGGTTTGCATAGTGAAAAAACTTTTTTTTAATCTTTCAGAAAGCTCATTAACTGATTGATGAGAATTACATTGATCAAGTGCTGTGCCAGCAGAAACAAAGTCTTAGGTGCTGCAGATTATCAGCGATTTCCTTCTCTAGCACATGGATAAATATACCTGGAAACATCTACCTACCTACCTACCTACTCTCTCTCTCTCCCTACCTACCTACTGTATTTCTCTCTCTATCTCTTTCTATTTCTGCCTACTCTGATGTAACTCTTTTGCTGGGATGCGGCTAACCAGGAAAGAGGCTATGATGACACTGAGTGGGGGTGTGGCTGAGGGTGTGGGTCATGGTGATTGGTGATGGTGGGTGGGTGTCACCTGGGTGGAGTTGTGGGTTGAGCTGGGTGGGGTAATGGTATATATATATGGGTGATGGTATTAACTTGGTTAGAACTGACTTCGATTTGATTACCTTTGTATCATTGTCATTTAGTGCTGGCTATCACGTAGTTTCTTAGATAGAGATAAAAAAATTTCACCAAACAAACTGAATCTCTGTTTGTATGCAACGTGAACGCCGGAACGTGACAGAAAAGTCAGTTCTCACCCCTATCAATACTTCACTTGGCACAGTTTCTGTTTGGTCTGAATAATGTCTGAAGGAGCAGAGGCAGCAACAGTGATCCTACCTGAGGTCACTCCTTTGGTCATTCCAACACAGGAGGAGGAAACAGAGGTAGCTGTAAGACGTAAGGAGAATCCCTTGGTAGACCAGGCCTCTGCCACTGGGGTATTCCTACATGTCAACCAGTGGTGCCAGTGAATGAGTGGTGGAAGTGTGCAGGGTTAACAACCAGCTCAGAACTACCTGTGCCTTCTCTCCAGGCGGGGTCACCTCACTCAGTGGAGAGAAAGGAGGGTGACTGAAGATAAAGAGGGTGATTGGAGCTACTCCACTGCCTTGGGTCGCTGGACGATGGATTGTCTGAGGGAGTGGTTTGGGGAGGCTAGCTTCCATGATAGCAGTTCTGGTTATCAAGGGAACAGAGGGGACAGCTGGTCAGATAACAGGAATACATCACAGCCCCCTTCCCAGCCTATCCCTGGCTTCCATCTAGCCAGTCCAAAGTTGAGGTTGGGTGCAACCCAGGAATATACCCAGGCCAGTGGCAGGGAGCTGGATCCACAGTTGCCTTCGAGGCTTCCCCCCAAACAGCAAAGGGAACCGCTAAGTGACGACAAAATTCAACGTTGGCTACCACAGGCAGTATCTAGTGGCCATCCCGTCTATACTTGGCCAGCTGGAAGTAGACAAGGCCAGGCTATAGTGGGGGGGATCCTTGGAAGCCTCCCTCCTTGAAG